TTCATATTTAGTCCATTTTAAATTTAAAAAGTGGCAATTATATTGATTTAATACATGGAAAAAACTATTGAATATAGAAAGTGATTTGTACTACAGTAAAGAGGTATGTTGATGAATTTGATCCTAGTGTTTTTTTTTGTTGTTCAGCTGTTTGTTTACACTCACCGGCCACTTTATTAGGTACACCTTACTAGTACCGGGTTGGACCCCATCTTGCCTTCAGAACTGCCTTAATCCTTCGTGGTATAGATTCAACAACATACTGGAAATATTCCTCAGAGATTTTGCTCCATATTGACATGACAGCATCACGCAGTTGCTGCAGATTTGTCGGCTGCACACCATGATGCAAATCTCCTGTTCCACCACATCCCAAAGGTGCTCTATTGGAATGAGACCTGGTGACTGTGGAGGCCATTTGAGTACAGTGAACTCATTGTCATGTTTAAAAACCAGTCTGAGATGATTGAGCTTTCTGACATGGTACGTTGATCTGCTGGAAGTAGCCATCAGAAGATGAGTACACTATGGTCATGCATGGGATGGACATGGTCAGAAACAATACTCAGGTAGGCTGTGGCGTTGACATGATGCTCAATTGGGACTAATGGGCCCAAAGTGTCCCAATAAAATCTCCCCCACACCATTACACCACCAGCCTGAACCGTTGATACAAGGCAGGATGGATCCATGCTTTCATGTTGTTAATGCCAAATTGTGACCCGACCATCCAAATGTTGCAGCAGAAATCGAGACTCATCAGAGCAGGCAACATTTTTCCAATATTCTATTGTCCAGTTTTGGTGAGCCTGTGTGAATTATAGCCTCAGTTTCTTGTTTTTAGCTGACAGGAGCGGCACCAGGTGTGGTCTTTCTGCTGCTGTAGCCCATCTGCCTCAAGGTTGGATGTGTTGTGTGTTTAGAGATGCTCTTCTGCAGACCTCAGTTGTAAGGTGTGGTTATTTGAGTTAATGTTGCCTTTCTATCAGCTGGAACCAGACTGGCCATTCTCCTCTGTTCTCTGGCATCAACAAGGCATTTAATCCCTCAGAACTGCCACTAACTGGATATTTTCTTGTTTTCTGACCATTCTCTGTAAACCCTAGAGATGGTTGTGCGTGAAAATTCCAGTAGATCAGCGATGTCTGAAATACTCAGACCAGCCCATCTGGCACCAGCAACCATGCCACGTTCAACGTCACCTGCATTGAGTTGCTGCCATGTGATTGGCTGATAAGAAATTTGCGTTAACAAGCAGTTGAACAGGTGTACCTAATAAAGTGGCCGGTGAGTTTATATTTATTCCTTCCATAGTCGGATTTAAAGGCTCACTCTAATACGCTTTATCACACAATCAATGCGATTTCATCTCAAGATGCAACACATCTAATGACCTACTCCATAATGCCATTAAAACTACAAAAAAAAAAAACATCACACACTCCTAGTTAATAAAGTGCTCGACAACCTAAAAAACATTAGCGCTAATCAAAATCTACATCTATGATCCAAATACGAGACTCGGCAGGGAGATGGAAATATGGGTCTCTCCACCGCATCAAATCACTTTCACAGAACAAATTAACAAATTAGCACGGTTCATCATTAACCTGCCTACAGGGCAAAGACCAGTTATCCCACATTAATCTGCTCTCTTCTTCTTCTTCTTTCAGAGCGCGATTCTCTGCGCCAACAATACGCTCAGGACACCAAAATGGGTTTTGTGATCAATGCCATCTACAGCATGGCCCATGGGCTCCACAGCATGCAGAAATCTCTGTGTCCAGGCGTGGTGGGACTGTGTGATGCCATGAGGCCCATCGATGGGTCAAAACTCCTGGAGTTCCTCATGAAGACCAACTTCTCTGGAGTGACCGGAGAACACATTTACTTTGACGAGAACGGAGATTCACCCGGGAGGTACTCTAAAAAAAAACACTTTAAAAAGCACTTAGTTGAAAAAGCAAGTACACTCATTGCCTTCACATTAATAAGTAAATAAACTGTGTGCATAATTGTAAAGTTAAGTGAATCAACAGTTCTAAGTTACTACATACAGGTGAAGTCTGAATTATTAGCCCTCCTGTATAATTTTGTCCCTCAATTTGTTTAAATTAAAGATGTTTTCAACACATTTCTAATCATAATAGTTTTAATAACTCATTTCTAATAACTGATTTATTTTGTCTTTGTCATGATGACGAGTAAATAATATTTGACTAGATGTTTTTCAAGACACTTCTATACAGCTTAAAGTGGCATTTAAAGGCTTAACTAGGTTAATTAGGCAAATCATTGTATAACAGTGGTTTGTTTTGTAGACTATCAAAAAAAAAATGTGGGGCTAATATTATTGACCTCAAAAGTTTTTAAAACAGCTTTTTTTCTAGCCAAAATAAAACAAACAACACTTTCTACAAAAGAAATAATATTATAGGAAATATTTTGAAAAATTCCTTGCTCTTTTAAACATTGTTTGAGAAATTAATCCAGAAAAACTAACAAAAAGCGCTCAGGAGTAACTCAAATATTTGGTCGGTGCTCTTTGGTTAAGGGATTCATCAAAACAACAACAGTAATCAGTCACTCGAAAAATATGGAAAAATTAAAAAGCCTTTATTCACATGGCTAAACTTAAAAAACCTACGCGTTTCGGCAAGGGTCTGTTTGAGAAATATGTGAAAAAGAAAAAATAATTCATAGTAAAGGTCTTTGCACACTGAAGTCTGCAATTTTCATAGGCGTTTTTTTTTTCGTACACTGCAAAAATGCTTTTCTTACTTAGATTTTTTGTCTTGTTTCAAGTCCAAATATCTACAAATTCTTAAATCAAGAAGCATTTTCTAGACAAGCAAAACATATTGTCTTGTTTTAAAAAATAATATGTCAAAATGAAGTGAGTTTTTCCTTAAATCAAGCAAAATAATCTGCCAATTAGGTAAGCAAAATAATCTTATCACAAATCAAAAACAAAATTATTTTGCTGACCAAATAGTTAGTGAGGTGGATTTTATACTCTTTAAAGTGTGAAGTTAATCTATATATTCAAATTGTATATATATAATCTGCTTGTAGACTTGCATACCATTAAAACAATTAAAGTGTTATGTAGCGTTAGAAAGGGGAAATGGCCTGAGGAAACAACTAAGGGTCATAAAAAAGGGATGAAAAGAGAGTGGTAAAAAAAGCCTGAGGTGTCTCAGGAAACAGATGTCAGAGGTGGAATTTGAGGTCAAGGGTTAAAACTAGGTGGGAACTTGTTTGACAAATATAGAACAATGTGAAGAGCAGCTGCAGACTTGTATATAAGCAGGCCAGACCATCAGTGAGACAGAATTTTTCAGACAGAGAAGCTACTGGGGGTCTCCTGAAAGTTCTCCTTTGTTGTCGACAATAAAGTATATTCTTCTGATATTCATAACCTCCAGACTGAGTTTGATTAAGTAAGAGAAAAACCAAGAAAACCACTACATTAGCAAGAAAACTTTCCAAACTATTAAGTGCTAATGTTTCTGGTATTTGTTTTTGTTTTGACATAACATAGTGACGAACTTGCAGATATCTGGGACGTTATTCTAGTTGCAACTATTCCTCATTTGCGAACAGCTTGTTCATGATCTATTGCTAATTGATTAGGTATAGTTATAAATCATTAAAATACAGTTAACAAGTCATTTATAACTTGTTAACTAACGGCTTGTAATTTATCTATTGGCTATCTATAAGGCACTGTTATAAATAATTAACAAACTATTAACTTTTATTTAACAAGTCATTTACAACTCATTAACTAACAGTTTATTACTGATCTAATCATTAATATGATTAGATCATTATAACAAATTATAATATAATATAATAGTAACGAAGTTTCACTGGTAAGATGGTTAACAAACTATGAACATCTGATCTGTAAAGTGTGAGTTAGTATATTAGTTAAGTGTTAGTTATTAGCTTAAGTATGTCATTGGGACGTTATTCTAAAGTTGCAACTATTCCTCATTTACTAACAGTTAATAAATGAAGAATAGTTGCAACTTTAGAATAACGTCCCAATAACGTATATAAATTATTAACTAATATTTAACAAGTCTTTAGTAAGTAATTTACTAACAGCTTGTTCATGATCTATCACTAATTGATTAGGTATGATTATAAATCATTAAAATACAGTTAACAAGTCATTTATAACTTGTTAACTAACAGCTTGTAATTTATCTATTGGCTATCTATAAGGCACAATTATAAATAATTAACAAACTATTAACTTTTATTTAACAAGTCATTTATAACTCATTAACTAACAGTTTACTAATGATGTATTCACTACTTATAACGGATAGTTATTTTAAAGTGTTACCAAAAATTCTTATGTCAAGAAGCATTTTATTATGCTTCTTCTGTATAATAAAATTTTAACAGATAGTTATTCTAAAGTGGTACCGAATTTTTAGATATTTGGACTAGAAACAAGACAAAAAATGTAAGTAAGAAAAGCATTTTTTGCAGTGTATTCATTTGTGAAAAATTCTGCATGTAAACAAACCAAGTGTGCCGCAAGCCTGCGTTTGAGTGAAGGTCTCGGCCGTTAGATCGCCCCCTGGGGGCTGGCTGCAGTACAAGTCATAAAGCCCGCCTCCTCCGTGTTAATGAAGGAGACTTGAGCCCAAATAAAAAAAATTATTACACTTGCAATAAAATGTCCCGAAAGATGGTTCTGGTCGATTAAGGCACTGGTTATTGTGCTGAAATAGGTGCAGATCTTCATTTTTGTAAACAGTTTGTTTTTAGCAGTAATTTAATGCTGGGTGTGTCATCGTGATTGACAGCTGTGATTGACAGTTTCTCAAAGCAGCGTGTCTGAGCTTCGGCAGGAGACTGAAGTGTTATTTTTCGATTTCTGTGTTATTTTACCATGACAAAATGAGTTCAGCAGTAAACTACAGTTTCTGACATACATGATCCTGGTGGAGCACTGTTTATTCGCTAAAGTCAGGGCTTTTTTCGGGCTTATTAGTTTGCTGATACACGCCTAGCCACCCAGATGGCAAAATACAGTCGGACCAGTTTGGCTAGATTCTCGCCTGCCGGAGACTTACCCCTCAGAGCTTAGACTGACTACCTCAGCTGGACCTTCTCCGGATGCCTGGACTCACTGCCCAATTTCAGCCCGAGTCAATCGAGCCAGATGCGGCGGCCGAGCGAGCCGGCGCTGCCGCATGCGAGCCGGAATCAGCCCGCAACGCCACGAGTAGGTTATGCGCTGGGGCCCGGAGCTGGCGCGATTGAATATATAAAACTCTCATATTTGTTAACGATATTACATCCATTTGTGTTGATATGACAGCAAACGCATGCTGAGAAGTTCGGGGGGCGTGGTTGATTTTACATAAAGCGTTTGGTTGGAAGCTCGACTCCGCTCATTTTCGCGGCTCCTCCTCTGGCTCCATCAGACAGTCCTTCTGCGCATGTCAAGGCTCCAATTTCAGCAGTCTTTTGCGACAGTTTGTGCCCGCCAAGCAGGCGTTTTGCCCTCAAGGCGTTCAATGGGAAAAGGGGCTGTCGCGTCGTCCATATTTTTTACAGTCATTGAAACAAACCTTGCACAGAGTTCGATGCGTATTAATTCATTACGAAAATGCGCGAAACATTTCTGAGTCAGTTCAAGCAGTGATACTTTGTTCTCCTTTCTTCTCCAAAGCAGAAAAAGAAAGAAGAATAGGCTACATATTGTGTCAATCCAATACTGCATAGAGAGGAAGGAGAGTTCAGCTCATTATCAAAGAGCTGCGGTGGATTATCCCAAAATGCAAAGTTTATCTCAGGAAATCAGTGGAATTTTGAGGCATTGCTTGTGATACTTCACACATTCCCGTACGTAAACAAATCCTGAACAGAGACTGGCAGTACCATTATAATAGATGATGGCCACCTTGACATATCGAAAGGGATAGTTCATCCAATATTGAAATTGTGCACTCAATTCACTCATTTTCAAGACATCCATGATCTAGTTTTAGAGTTTTTATGTTCTCCTGCAGAACACTAAAAAAAGATTTCTAATCGAAACCCTGATCCTTGGTGCTTCATAAAAACCAAATCAATGACTACAACGCTTTGAGAGTCCAAAAACACATACATTATGTCTAGTTTCTGCAGCAAAGCATCATTTTAGTGACTGATTTCTCTGCTGTTGTCTATCAATCATGCGGAGTCGATGAACGGATCGATGCTTCAGTCAGTTTGATGAATTCAGCCTTCAGCTTCATTCGTCTTCATCTGGTTGTGTGTTTTGACCCTTTAGTTACGTGATCATGAACTTTAAGAAGATGGGCAAGGATTATTTCGACTACACCAACGTGGGCAGCTGGGACAACAGTGGGCTGCAGATCGACGATGATGAGATCTGGCCCAGCAAAGAGGACATCATCAAATCTGTGTGCAGCGAGCCCTGTGATAAAGGCCAGATCAAGGTCGGACATTGACATATATGTGTGCAATCATTTTAAATAGTTTGTGCACTAATCACCTGAAAATATCACAAGTAATACTCACTAGCAGATCATAGAATGGCTAATTTTGAAACGCTGATTTACTTTTTTACTGTACATCTGTGTTTTGTTTTCTGTTTTATAATTCAGCATTAAATATGAACAACATTACAAACGGGATTACTTTTTTCAGTAATGAGTAAATCAAATAAATGATTGTTTCCCCTGATACAACACTGTTACAGACAATCAATTGAGGCATTATATAATTGATATACAGTACAATTAGCAATTGAGCTCACAGACGCAGTTTTCCTCTGGTGTGTGAGTGGGGCACAAAACTTATGATGATTGGCATGTATGTAGGAGTGGGACAACTACATAACTGATGAAGTTTGTGTGTGTGTAGAGGTGGGACAACCACATAACCGATCATAATTGATGATTGGCATTTGTGTGTGTAGGGGTAGGATAACCACATAACTGATGATGATTTTTTTGTGTAGAAAATCCACTATAACTGATGATGATGATTGCTGCGTGTGTGTGTGTGTAGGAGTGGGACAACTACATAACTGATAACAATTGCATAGTGTCTTTGTAGGGGTGGGACAACTACGTAACTGATGATGATTGGCATGTATGTGAGTGAGTGTGTGTAGAGGTGGGACAACAACTGAACTCATGATTACTGGTGTGTGTGTGTGTGTGTGTGTGTGTGTGTGTGTGTGTGTGTGTGTGTGTGTGTGTGTGGGTGGGGGTGTGGGACAAACACATAACTGATGTGTGTGTGTGTGTATGTGTGTCTGTGTGTAAAGGTGGGACAAACACATAACTGATGATGACTGGCATGTGTATGTAGGGGTGGAACAACTACATGACTGATGATTATTGGCATGTGTGTGTGTGTGTGTGTGTAGGGGTGGGACAACTACATAACTGATGATGATAGGCACATGTTTGTAGGGGTGGGATAACGACATAACTGATGATTGGCATGTGTGTAGGGGTGGGACAACTACATAACAATCAGCATGGGTAGGAGTGGGACAACTACATAACTGATAACAATTACATAGTGTCTTTGTAGGGGTGGGACAACTACATAACTGATGATGATTGGCATGTATGTGAGTGAGTGTAGAGGTGGGACAACAACTGAAATGATGATTACTGGTGTGTGTGTGTGTGTGTGTGTGTGTGTGTGTGTGTGTGTGTGTGTGTCTGCGTGTGCGTGTGTGTGTGTGTGTGTGTGTGTGTGTGTGTGTGTGTGTGTGTGTGTGTGTGTGTGTGGGTGGGTGTGGGTGTGGGACAAACACATAACTGATGTGTGTGTGTGTATGTGTGTCTGTGTGTAAAGGTGGGACAAACACATAACTGATGATGACTGGCATGTGTATGTAGGGGTGGAACAACTACATGACTGATGATTATTGGCGTGTGTGTGTGTGTGTAGGGGTGGGACAACTACATAACTGATGATGATTGGCACATGTTTGTAGGGGTGGGATAACGACATAACTGATGATTGGCATGTGTGTAGGGGTGGGACAACTACATAACAATCAGCATGCGTAGGAGTGGGACAACTACATAACTGATAACAATTAAATAGTGTCTTTGTAGGGGTGGGACAACTACATAACTGATGATGATTGGCATGTATGTGAGTGAGTGTGTGTAGAGGTGGGACAACAACTGAAATGATGATTACTGGTGTGTGTGTGTGTGCGTGTGTGGGTGTGTGTGTGTGTAGGTGTGTGTGTAGGTGTGGGACAAACACATAACTGTTGATGTGTATGTGTGTATGTGTGTCTGTGTGTAAAGGTGGGACAAACACATAACTGATAATGACTGGCATGTGTATGTAGGGGTGGAACAACTACATGACTGATGATCACTGGCGTGTGTGTGTGTGGGTGTGGAGGGGTGGGACAACTACATAACTGATGATGATTGGCACATGTTTGTAGGGGTGGGACAACCACATAACTGATGATTGGCATGTGTGTAGGGGTGGGACAACTACATAACAATCAGCATGTGCGTGTAGGGGTGGAACAATAACATAACTGACGATGATTGGTATGTATGTGTGTATGTAGGTGTGGGACAACCACATAACTGATGATGATTGGCTAAAAATACAGGACATGCTTTCAAATGGGTGGACGGAGCTTCTGTGGAAAGCAACTAAATCTAATTTTATTATTATTATTATTCTGACAGATGAAAACAATCAATAGCAGCAAAACAAGTCAGTAATATCAGTATATTTTCACCAAGTACTTCACAATCACATTGCCGTATCATCAGCTGGCCATGAGTGAAGGCTGGGGTTTATTAGAAGGCAGGTAAATTAGACAAGTCATTGGACAGCAGTGGTTTGTTCTGTAGCAAATTGAAGGGGAAAAAACAGAGAAATATGTTAGAGGAAATACTGTAAAAAAAATGAAAAATTTTGCGAGAGAAAAAAATTAATTTGGTCTTCAACCATACATTGTGATATGAGATTTTTGAGCCAGCCCTAAAAACTTTCATGAATGAAATCTAATCATATTCCTTTAATAATATCTAATAATTCACATTCTTATATTTTTATATTATTTTCTCCACAACTGATCCACTTTAGTCCTTGGTTCTGTTTCATAAGCCGATGTTTTGGGAGCACTACTGACGAGATTATATGTGTACTGTGTTTGTGTGTGTGTATCGCAGGTCATCCGCAAAGGAGAGGTGAGCTGCTGCTGGACCTGCACTCCCTGTAAAGACAATGAGTTTGTGTTCGACGAGTACACGTGTCGCGCCTGTGAACTGGGCTCCTGGCCCACCGACGACCTCATTGGTGAGTCCCAAACAGATAATAAAAGCCTCTGTCAAACCAGTCCAAATACACACACTCACACCATAAAACCCTCAGATTGATGACACAGATCCACTGACCCCGATTCTCCTGCCGCCGTGTGTTACGCTGAGGGCTCAATAACACACTTTATCCCTCTCTATTCCCTTTACTACATCTAATTCAGTAAAGTGCTCTAGCCTCCAATCAAACACACACAGAAAACACGCTGTAATATCGTCAAGATTCTGTGTCTCTTCTGTTATGTGTTCCACCTGTTTGTTTAGTCATGTGATTCCTCTGTTCTGTTTTCCCGCCATTTTAGTTTCAACTATTAGTATAAGTATTCTATCTATCTATCTATCTATCTATCTATCTATCTATCTATCTATCTATCTATCTATCTATCTATCTATCTATCTATCTCTATCTATCTATCTATCTGTCTGTCTGTCTGTCTGTCTGTCCGTCCGTCCGTCCGTCCGTCCGTCCGTACGTCCGTCCGTCCATCCGTCTATCCATCCATCCACCCACCCACCCACCCACCCACCCAGCGTTCTATCTATCTATCTATCTATCTATCTATCTATCTATCTATCTATCTATCTATCTATCTATCTATCTATCTATCTATCTATCTATCTATCTATCTATCTATCCATGGATGACCATCCATCTTTCTGTATGTACGTCGATCAATCTATTTATCTGTCTATCTATATATGTCCGTCCATCCGTCCGTCCATCTGTCTGTCTGTCTATCCATCCATCCATCCATCCACCCACCCACCCATTCATTCATCCATCCATCCATCCATCCATCCATCCATCCATCCATCCATCCATCCATCCATCCATCCATCCATCCACCCACCCATCCAGCGTTCTATCTATCTATCTATCTATCTATCTATCTATCTATCTATCTATCTATCTATCTATCTATCTATCTATCTATCTATCTATCTATCTATCTATCTATCTATCTATCTGTCTGTCTGTCTGTCTGTCTGTCTGTCTGTCTGTCTGTCTGTCTGTCTGTCTGTCTGTCTGTCTGTCCGTCCGTTTGTTCGTCTGTCCGTCTATCTATCTATCTATCTATCTATCTATCTATCTATCTATCTATCTATCTATCTATCTATCTATCTATCTATCTATCTATCTATCTATCTATCTATCTATCTATCTATCTATCTATCTATCTATCTATCTATCTATCTATTTGTCTGTCTGTCTGTCTGTCTGTCTCTCTGTCCGTCCATTCGTCTGTCCGTCTATCTATCTATCTATCTATCTATCTATCTATCTATCTATCTATCTATCTATCTATCTATCTATCTATCTATCTATCTATCTATCTATCTATCTATCTATCGGTCTGTCTGTCTGTCTGTCTGTCTGTCTGTCTGTCTGTCTGTTCGTCCGTCCGTCCGTCCGTCCGTCCGTCCGTCCGTCTGTCTGTCCGTCCGTCTATCCATCCATCCACCCACCCATCCAGCGTTCTATCCATCCATCCATCCATCCATCCATCCATCCATCCATCCATCCATCCATCCATCTATCTATCTATCTATCTATCTATCTATCTATCATTTTGTCTATTATTCCATCCATCCATCCATTTATACATCTATATGTCCGTCTGTCTGTTTGTCTGTCTGTCTATCTATGTGTCAGTCTTTCTTTCATTCTATGTTATGTTATTGTTACTTTTCTTAGAAACTATGAAACTATAGAACAGATTAATTTAAGTATATGTCCCTACTGTATAATTTAAAAACACTACTGTAACTATTATGAATTACTATAGTTTTTTTCAAGTGGGTTAACATGCCAAGCATTTCATGAAGCATCATTTGGGATCTGAGGTCATAAACAACTTGAGTTATTCGGAAAAGTCTCTGTTGCATTGCGAATAACAAAAAGAGAAAGCGTTAAAGAGAGATATTTGTAATGCAGAAAGCAAATCCATTTCAATAAAGGATTTGAGGGTAAAACCATGCACACACACACACGCACACACAAACACACACACACGTTCATTGAGCTGAAAGGTTAACAGCGTCAGAATGTCCGGAGCTGAACTTATCAAATCTGTCTGGCTGTGTATTCAGCCCACACTCTCTATTAACACCTGTTTATAACGTCAGAGTCAAAGAACAAATCAGACAGTCAATATAAACAAGTACTGGACGTTTCTATTCTTTTTAAAAGATTCATTTGTTTGCCAGTGCAGTAGCTGTCTTTATTAGTTTTCTCATTGGCTTTGGTGCGTTTCTCACAACACTATTTACATTTGCACAACAGTTAATGCATTTCTCAAAACAATTAGTACACACTGCAAAACCTAGCTGATAACCTGCAAAAGCGAGTCACTTGCTCAAAACGGAGAGCTCATTCCTCAAAAGCAAGTACTGATGTCAAGTGTCAGTGTCATCAAGATGAAAAGTCCTGACACCATTGTTTATGAACAAGATAGTCAAATGGCTTAGTCATGTTTTCATTATGACAGTTTACTCTGTACATTATTTCCAATGCAAAAAAAATCTGATTTTGGTGACACTTCCTGAAAATGCTCAAGAAAGCGCTATATATACTATTTGCACAGCCATTTGAAAACTACAGCACAGTTAGACATGACTGCGTTTAGTGAGGTACAGTTTCTGA